ATAAAAGAAGTTGCTGATGATGTTGGAAAGAGAAGGAGGGTGATGGAACAGCAGAAAAGGTAAAAAAGCCTGAGGACGGACTGATCACAGTGAAGGACCCGCAGTCGCGTGAGAATGAGGGTTTACAGTCGCAATCGTTGAGTGGAACTCATGGAGTTGAAACGATAAATTCATCAAAAGGCAGTTTGCCAGTTGGTGAGGATCAACGAAATTTGTCGAGTTCTGTGTAGCCTCCATTGCCCAACAACTCACCGCATGCAAATCCATCATCCACATCTGCAGCTGGCCGTGTTGACGCGAAAAGCCACGAAAACAACATTGGCACAAAGAATTCTCAACAGTCTGTCGTGGGAGACATTCAGCAGAATAAAGGACACCGGCAAAAAAGCTGTCGCTTCAACGAGTAGAGGAGAAGGTTCACGATTGCCACTCACGACGGTTGAAGAAATGAGTGTTGTAATGACAAAGGGCGATAGCGGCAGCAGCACCGCGGCAGCTACGGTCATGCAGTCTGACACTGGCACAGAAGGCGCTCCGGCCACCAATCATCCGAACCGACCCTCCACTGAAGGCGCCACACCACCCGGAACGAATTCCGATGGTGAAGCTGCATCAGCCAACAAATATGATACGGTCTCTCAGACTGCGGGATCCACAGCAGCGCCAACCACAAACGCCAAAGCCGATGACACGACGAAGCCTGGCGACAGTGACAGCGGCACCGCAGCCTCCCACACCACCGCTTTTCTTTTGCGCTTAACGTTGCGTGTGCGGCTGCTGCGGTGGTGCCCAGGCCTGCATGAAGTGGTGTGCGCTGAATATGAACGAAGGCCGAAGGCAAATGAATTGTTGTTGTGATGAATATTGGCTGCAATTCCCGTGGACCAACAATCCACGTGGTGTGCGGGGATCTCCTTTTTTAAATTGTTACTTTGCTTTTGTGTTGCTGTGTGCGCTGCACCTCCTCTTGTGTGTGTGCGTACCCTCCGTGAGGGCTGCCGACACGACGGACCGCTCTCGCCGTATGTGCATGCGGTGGAGCCTTGTGTGCCGCTCCTGTTTGCTTCTCCCTCTTCCATCTGTGTGTTGGTGCTGCGGCAGGGCTGTGTGTGTGTGTGTGCCTGCTGCCGTGGATTGGAGTGTGTGTCGTGCGTGGTGTGCGGCGTACGGTGCATGCCTGGCTGCTGCCCTCTCCTCATGTGGTGTGCCCTCTGTGTGTGTCTGCCGCACCTCTCGTCTCCCCTGTTGCTCTCCATGTCCCTCACTGTGCAGATCAGCTCCACACCACTGAACGACCACACTCACGATGACGACGTGCCGTCTGCTGTGCGCCCTGTTGGTGCTCGCCCTGTGCTGCTGCCCGTCCGTGTGCGCTGCAGCGACTGGTGAAGTCAACCTCCCCAACTTGAGTTCATCGTCCTCTGAGTCACAAGTCCAAACTAAGCCTGGTGCGGGACTGGGAAACGGAATGGTGGGTGACCAGGGGTTATGAAATGAGGAATCTACCCCGTCAAGGGAAAAGGAGGAATCTGTTAAGGTGCAGACATCAAGTGCAACGACTACGACGACTACGACAAAGGCACCAACTACGACCACGACTACAACCACAACCACAAAGGCACCAACTACGACCACAACACAGGCACCAACTACTACAACTGCAGAGGCGCCAACCACGACGACCACCCGCGCACCGTCACGTCTTCGCGAAGTCGACGGCAGCCTCAGCAGCTCTGCGTGGGTGTTTGCTCCGCTGCTGCTCGCCGTATCCGCGCTGGCGTACACCGCTGTGAAATAAAGAAGTGCGTGTAGGCTGTGCGTGCCAGCACTCAATCGCGTGGATTTGTGCGCGTCTACTGTGGTCTGATGTATAAAGTAAGAGAAAATATAATTGTTTTTTGCTTTGTTTGCCTCCGCTGCCATGCTGTGTGCTCCGCGTTGCTTCCCCACATCCGCCACGTTGAACGCATCCCGGACACAATTTTATGCATGCGCAGCAGAGCCCTGAGTGTAGTTTTCTTTTTTTAATTATTCTTTTTTTATTGCTTTTAAACTTCTGGTTTGCATGGCGGTGTGCGAGTTCTGCAATAGTACTGATTCCAACTGTCTCATGGTGTGTGCGCTGCTGCTGGATGGGACGGTGCGTGGCTGTGCGGTGGCTGTGCGTGGTGTAGAGGCCGTGTCTTTGCCTTCACTCTGCGTTGACGTGTTGTTAGTTTGTGCTGAAGGCTACACGCAAGTGACAGGAGTGATGGCGATGATGATGACTGGCCGTGTGCTGCTGGTGTGTGCCCTCTGCGTGCTGTGGTGCGGTGTCGGCGGTAGATGTGATGCGGGGGTGGGAGTAGGTGCGCAACAGGAAGGTGGTAAGTCTCCGCCGGAACCAAAAGGACTTGAAGCGTCTTCACAAGGCACGCAAGACTTAAAAGGTGGGGCAGCGGATGCTAAAGAAAATTCACCTTCCTTACCTACAGAGGAAGATGATGAGGATGTTGATGACGATAGTGAAGAAGGTGATGATGGTGATGGAGGAAGGGAAAATGAAGAAGAAGAAAAGGTACGAGGGCAGAGTGGTCAAGAGGGAACAGTTGCACTGGGCTCAGATTCCACCGAAAAGAAGTTAATTGGCAGTGAGAAGCAAACAGAACTGTCAATTGCATCTGCAGGGAGCATCTCTCCTTCCGGCAGTCGGGAATTAAATGTCAATCTTACGCAAACGGAAGTTGAAGGAAAAAAGTAAACCGACAAAAATACACCAGCGGTAGAGAGCGCACTCACAACGGGTAACGGGGAGAACACACTGCCTGCGGGAATTGCGGGAGGAAATCTTCCATCGCCTCCAAAAGACGGTGTTTGTTCCCGCGAACAGGATGGCGAAGGCACCACGAGTGATGGTAAAAAAATGTTCCGTTGCCTGAGACCGCCGCCACACCACAAAGCCACCATGACAAGGACTCAGAAGGAACTGGGGAAGATACGAAAGCAACGACAGCAACCGCCAACACAACTGATACGACGAGCACAAAAAACAGTGACGGCAGCACCGCGGTCTCCCACACCACCTCCTCTCTTTTGCTTCTTCTTCTTCTTGCGTGTGCGCTGACGCTTCATGAATAAGACACCCGCCGTGACTCCTGCTGGTGGCAACAGTCACTGTGTGTTCCCGGTGCATTTCTACTGCTTCTGCTGTTCTTTGTGTTTGTGTGCGTGAGTTGTTGTTGTTGGGAGCGACTGCGGCGGGGATGATGGTGCCACTCTCTGTGGATGGGTGACGGTGCTCGCTGTTTCACCCCTTTCTTGGCATCTTTTCTCTCCACTCTCTCAATCACACACGAAGAAGGAAATCAAGCGCTAAACGCCACCGTGAAATTTTAAGGCTCTGAAAGGACCAACAGCACACACACCGCCCACACACACATATTTATATGCTCTTACGTGTTGCTGCTGTGGAGGCACCCCGCACACACAACCGTCGCCGCGTGACCGGATCCAGCGGAAGGAGGAGGGAAGGAAGGGAGAGTGAGCCGCAAATGCCCAACATGTCCCGGCGTGTGTTTACTTCCGCGGTGCTGCTCTTCCTCGTCGTGATGATGTGCTGCGGCAGTGGAGCTGCGACCGCTGAGGACGCGTCGTCAGCTTCAGGATCTTCACCGGAGAAATTGTTTCATTGGAGAGATACAAAAGATGGAGAAACAGTGAGTTCGCTCCGTGTTCCCAGTCTTGTTGAGATGAATGGTGATGTGTTTGCCGTTGCCGAGGCGCAGTGCACGGGCACCGGAGGATGCGTTTTTACTGGGATTGCCTCGGAGTTTTTGTCTCTGACTGATGAACAGCCAAATGAGTTGGATACAAGTAAATTGAAGACACAAGTACTGGTGAACCGTTCTTCCGGAGGAGAAAAATGCCCCTTCCAAACAGCAGTTCTGGCTGGCACTCAAAGAGTGAAGAAGGTACATGTGAGCCGACCAACAACAGTCGTGCAGGGAAGTGATATTTACATGCTTGCTGGAAACTACAGTTGGACATATGGGGGTAAGTCAGATTCTGTGTTTCAATGTGGACTCTTGCTGGTAAAAGGTAACATTAGCAATGAGGCAGGCAGTACCAACAAAAGGATCCTTTGGAAAGATACTTACGATCTCCCATGGATTTCTAACGGCAGACAGGAACAATCCTGGACACGACTGATTGGCGGTGGTGGATCGGGTATTAAGACAAAAGGCAATACTCTCTTGTTTCCATTGGAAGGCACAAAAAAAGAGGATGGGAAAGCCGTTTCACTGATTATGTACTCCTCGGACACTGCGGGTTGGACGGTATCGAGGGAGATGTCTGCCGACGGCTGCGGTGATCCCTCCGTCGTGGAGTGGAAGGACAAACTCATCATGATGACTGCGTGTGATGATGGCCGCCGCAGGGTATACGAGTTTAATCTAACGGAGTCGTGGACGGAGGCACTCGGGACACTCTCGCGCGTGTGGGGCAACAAACACAAGGGAAATAAGAAGGGTGTTGGGAGCGGGTTCATCACAGCGAGGATTGAGGAAAAGGACGTGATGCTCGTGACTCTGCCGGTGTATGCCAAGACTGAGAGCGAAGAAAATGGAAAGGGCAGACTCCATCTTTGGCTGACGGACAATACGCACATTGTTGATATTGGGCCGGTATCCGGAGAAGGAGACGATGACGTTGCCGCCAGCTCCCTGTTGTACAAAAGTGCTGAAGGTGAAGATAAGAACGAGGGGTTGATTGCACTGTACGAGAAGAAGGATGAGGCCGAAGCATCACCCGGTATGGTCTCTGTGCGTCTGACTGCGCAGCTGCAGCGGGTGAAGAAGGTGCTGACGGCCTGGAAGGAAGTGGACGACCGTGTCTCCAAGCTGTGCCGTTCTGAAAATGTGGAGAGTATCTCATCTGAAAATGCCTGCAGCCCTACTTTTAAGATCACGGATGGGCTGGTTGGCTTTTTATCCGGGAACTTCTCTGATAAGACATGGAAGGACGAGTACCTCGGGGTGAACGCCACAGTAAAGGGGAATGATGGTGGGGCGGAGATGACGGATAACGGTGTGAAGTTCCAGGGAGCGTGGGCGGAGTGGCCTGTTGGCGCGCAGGGGGAGAATCAGCTGTACCACTTTGCGAACTACAAATTCACTCTTGTGGCGACGGTGTCTATCGACGGTGTGCCGGAGGAGGGTACCACTATTCCTTTGATGGGTGTGAAGATGAGTGGCGATGGGAATTCAGTACTCCTGGGACTGTCGTACAACAATGAAAAGAAGTGGATATTAAAGTGCAGTGGCGGAACGACAAAGGAGCTCAAAAGCACATCGGAGACAGAGAGAACACGCCACGTGGTAGTTTTGTTGAAGAGCGGCGGTCAGGGCTCCGCGTACGTCGATGGTCAGCGTGTGGGGAATGAAGAATGTGCATTGGGAGAAGCAGCATCGAAAGGGATCTCCCACTTCTATATTGGAGGGGATGGAGGCAGCGCAGAGAACAAAGAAAGCCGAGAAGACGTGTCTGTGACGGTGACGAACGTCCTGCTGTACAACCGCCCGTTGAGTGACAATGAGATTGGCGTCCTTAACCCGAATAAAGTTACCCTTCAACAGTTGGAGGATAAGTCTTCGGAGCCGTTAACAGTTTCTTCTGATTCCGTTAATCCTAACACCTCTCCGGTTACCGCAGCTGTTCAGCAAACCGGAACTTTGTCTACTCCTGACGGAAAACATCTGACGGAACAGGGACAGTCGATGGGGAGCAGTAATGCGGGCAGTGGCGGTGCATCCACAACAGCGGTGTCCACTATAACTACTCCTTCAGCAGGAGAGGAGTCCGTAATGCAGGTGGCGTCAGGAACATCTTCTGATGGACATAAAAATGTGGGTGGCGGTTCTTCTTCTGATGGCGAGCCAACGGTGGAGACAAGAGAAGGAGGAACGAGTGGTGGTGTGGAGGAGGTTAATACGCAGATCAGGGAAGTAAATGCCACGGCACTCAGCAGCAACCTCGGAAATGTGTCGCAAGAAAATAAAATTGATGCCGGCACCATGCGTGAGAGCGGACTGTTGCCATTGCTGCTTCTGCTGTTGGGACTGTGGGGGTTTGTGGCTCTGTGAGGAGTGACTGGCTGCCGCGTGGGACAATTGCGACATCCCCAGCACGGAATTAATTCCAAGAACTAACTTTTTCCTTAAGATAATTTTCTTTTTTTGCTTTCTGTTTGTAATTCATAATTTTTTCTTTTTACGTGTTGCGCGTGTGTGTCCTTTTTTTAAATTTTTTTTTTTGGTTTTCTGTTGTTGTTGTTTCTTTAATTCCTCATCCCCATACTTTCTTTTTTTGCTTTTGGGGCAATCACTGTGGACGTTTTTTTCTTTTCTACTCTTCCCTCTTTTAATTGTTTCTTCTGCACTCTTCCTGCGAGGGGTGCCGTGTGTTTCCCGCCCAACTGCTCCACTCGCACACCCACCGACACGCTCATGACGACGGCCCTGTGCGCCTCGCCTGCTGCACGCATGAGGAGGGGCCGTGATGTGTGGGCGTGCGACGAGGGCCGGTGGGCGGAGCACACATTTCTTTCCCTCTTGTTTTCTTTTTTTGCGGCCAGGGCGGGCAGACACCCGCAGCGCCACACACACACAGCCACACCCTGCCGCCGTGTTTTTCTTTTTTGTGGATGGGTGTTTGCTGCCACCGTGCGTGATTGTTGAGGTTTGGGCCGTACCGCATGTATCGCTGTCACCCGGCTGTGCCTCTTGCCGTCCTGATGTGCCTCCCTGTGCTCCTCTTTTTTTTTGCTCCTCCAACAGACGCCCACACACATAAGTACTTGCACAGTGCTCTGCAGGAATGTATTTGGTAACGAGGGACGTTGGCTGACGTTCCGTGCTGAAATGATGACGCGGCTGCACGATGGACTTCTCCGGCGATGACAGTCGCTGTGTTCTCGGCACACATCCACACACTCTTCCTTGTTTCCCTGCGGGAGTGATTGCGGCGGCAGCGTGGTCTACGGCAGCGGCTGTTGGTGTCTTGGTGAGGACGAGGCGTCGAGGAACAAGAGGGCGGACCCGCTGGACGCGATTACGATGGCGGATGAAAGCCGTTTCGTTGCCCTTGCTTCGTACATTGCTAAGAATGCGCCGTGTCGCTGCCTGACGGGATGCCTGCACTCGGCACCCTTCGAGGCATTGTGTTGTTTCATTCAGGATGATGTCACAATTATCAAGACGGCACCTTCCCTCAACGGCTTTGAGTGTGACAATACGAATGACGGCAAAGAGAGCGATGAGGATTATGGAGACGACTTGCACCGAGGGGCGGATTATTTGCGTGTCTTTGCACACGAATCCCAGGAGGATTTGAATGCCGTCTCCACAATTCCCGGCCTTGCGGAACCGTTGGCTTTCGCGCTGTCACCCACCGTAATTAGTGCCCCATGCGTTGAGGCTGATCCATTTACCGTGGAGTTCACGCAGCAGCTCTTGAGTGGTTGTGCTGCTGGTCCCGCGTTGGCCCTTTCGCATGTATTTCAGCGTTGCCTGGCGGATGATTTGATGTCTGTGTTGTCCAGGCCGCCGCCTCGAGTTTTCTTTTGGTGCCCAATAAGAAACACTTTGCGTTGCGGTGGGTATTTATTTGCGTGGCCGTCGACGCACGTGACGATGCTCAACGGGTGTGTCTTTTGTTTGGCGGGCACGAGGGAGACTTCGGTGTGTGCCGACAGCACCGCGAAAGTCTTTGTCGACGGATCGAGGCGAAAATAAGGGGGGTATGTCCGCTGCATCTCTCAAGGCAGCTGCGGGGCACTCCGGACGCACAGAGTGGATGGATGGATGCCGCGCAGCTGGGGAGACCAGTTTTCTTCTTCACCCTTCGTTGCCGGGGGAATCGAGAATCCACAGCGTCACTGCCAGCTGCATTTTACTGCTGGGGATCGACTGTTTTGAAGTTGCCCATCTAATGTGAATCGCAGCGTCAGTGCAGGAAGACACTTTTACGCACTGCGCGTAGTTGCTCCAGGCTCGAGCTCATCAATATTTACGGCAGGGAGCAATGCATCTTGGTGGCCGGTGACGTTCAGACGAGTGTGTTTCACTTCACCCGCCTCGTATTTGTGAGGGACACTGCGCATCGACCCTCCCCAACAGTCCCATCACCTTCACTTTCCCCGCCGACCGCTGCCATCTGCTGACGGTACAGTTGTTTGGCTCCGCCAATAATGCGCTCGTGAAACTTCCTCTCCGCACGCTGCAGGATTATTGCCGTGGAGGAGTTGATGGCATATGGTGCGGGTGTGGCGTCGACAGAGTCATCCACGCTTTTTCTTAGAAACATGACTCTGAGTCGTGTCAGTCATGCCGTGTTTCCTTTTTCTTGCTGGGAGTCTTGTGGGTGTGTTTGACCCCTTTTAGGAGCCTGTGTAGAGAATGATCGCGGGAGAGCTGGCGGCCCTAATGAATGTATATATATATATACCCTGATAGAACGAATATACACTTCTTTAGGACACTTTTCTACCGTATGAGTTTTGGGAAGGCCACGACTTTAGGGAGCCTACAGCGGCCGGATAATTTTTTATTTTTATTTTTGCCATCGCACGCACCCCCTTTTGGTTCCCACCACGCGGCGGGGTCTTGTGGCTGGAGGACCCCAAAGTCTGCCACTTCGTAAGCAATAAATAAATAAATAAATATCCCATCGGAATAGAGTGAACGGGCCACAATTTATGCTAACGTATGGTATAATATATATACACTTGCTAGGTGTTAAACTTTGGGAAGGTGGTGAATCCACTCTTATTCCGTTGATCCCTCACTTATTTCTATCTTGTTTGGTTTCTATTATTGGGAAACTCAGGATTCGGCCAGCGGCCCGGAAGATTATTCTTTATTGCAGCACTGTAACAAAGGGAAGCAGGAACAACACAAACCGAATTATTGGCTGCACCAACACAAGCAAACTTCACAAGAGGAAAGAAAAAAATAATTGTACACCCTGCAGGAATCCCCAACACACGACCCAGGCATGAAGTTTCACCCTCCGCAAAACAAAACAACGCATTCAGACATCTGCCAACATCCAAACAGAAACACAAATAAATGGTTGCTTGCCTTATTCCATTCCTTGCGCTTATTTTCACGTATGCGGCTGCTGCTGCGGTGGTGGCTACGCTTGCATGAAGTGGTGTGCGCTGAGTATGAACGAAGGCCGATGGCAAATGAATCGTTTTTGTGATGAATATTGGCTGCACTTCCCGTGGACCAACAATCCACGTGTTGTGTGCGGGGATCTCCTCTTTTTCATTGTTACTTTGCTTTCGTGTTGCTGTGTGCGCTGCACCTCCTCTTTTGTGTGCGTACCCTCCGTGAGGGGTGCAGACACGACGGACCGCTCTTGCCGTATGTGCATGCGGTGGAGCCTTGTGTGCCGCTCCTGTTTGCTTCTCCCTCCTCCATCTGTGTGTTGGTGCTGCGGCAGGGCTGTGTGTGTGTGTGTGTGTGTGTGTTGCCGTGGATTGGAGTGTGTGTCGTGCGTGGTGTGCGGCGTACGGTGCATGCCTGGCTGCTGCCCTCCCCTCGTGTGTGTTTGCCCTCTGTGTGTGTCTGCCGCACCTCTCGTCTCCCCTGTTGCTCTCCATGTCTTTCACTGTGCAGATCAGCTCCACACCACTGAACGACCACACTCACGATGATGATGACGTGCCGTCTGCTGTGCGCCCTGTTGGTGCTTGCCCTGTGCTGCTGCCCGTCCGTGTGCGTGACAGCTCAAGACCCCAATTCACCGTCATCTTCTCCGGAGGTAAAAGGTGTGGCCGGGGCGGAAGGGGGAGTAGGCACGGGAGGGTCAATATTTACGCCAGGTACCTCAGGGGCACAAAATCAGGATGATGAATCGAGGGAAGGATCAGGTGTGGGCCATACATCAGAGTCATCAATTGAGAGGTCCACGCGGTTAGATCGACATGATGCAACCGTCACGGACAAAACGCCACATACATCGAATTCTGCGGACAGTACGGGACCGGGACCGGGTGCACCACTGGTAACAGTTGAGAGGCCCGCTGCGTCAGAGGCACCCAGTAATTCCGAACACAAGCCAAATGCCACGACCACGACGACAACCACGACGACCACGACGACGACGACCACTGCGCCAGAGGCACCAAGTAGCACGGCCATGAATACGGAGACGCCTACTACGACCACCACCCGCGCATCGTCACGTCTTCGCGAAATCGACGGCAGCCTCGGCAGCTCTGCGTGGGTGTGTGCCCCGTTGGTGCTCGCCGTGTCCGCGCTGGCGTACACCGCTCTGGGCTGAAGAGGTGTATGCGGGCTGTACGTGCCAGCACCCAACCGCGGGGATTTGTGCGCGTGTGTTGTTGTCCGATGTACTAAAATAAGAGGAAATAATGATACTGTTTTGCTTCACTTGCTTCTGCTGCCGTGCTGTGTGCTCCGCGTTGTTCCCCACATTCGCCAGTTAGCACGTATCCAGACGCCCTTGTATACACGACACGCATGTGGCTTTTTGCGTGGACGTCCATTTGTAGATGGATGTATGCGCACTGGAGCCATTCGGTGCAGCTTTTTTTTTGTGTGTTTACTTTTTTGACTTTATTGCTGTTTGTTTACTTGTGTTTCTGTTTTGAATTTTTTGTGTGTTTTCTTGCTTTTTTCTTTATTCGGGGCGCTGTGCGTCTTTTTTTCCCTTCCACTGGTTTTATCTACCTCATGGAGTGTGTGAGCTGCCGCTGCGGGGTTGATGCCATTTATGGCTGTGCGTTGGCTGTGTGTGTTGCAGCGGCCGTCTCTTTTTCTCCATTTGCTTTCGCTCTGCGTTGACGGGGAGTTAGTTTGTGCAGAAGGCTACACGCAAGTGACAGGAGAGATGGCGATGATGATGACTGGCCGTGTGCTGCTGGTGTGTGCCCTCTGCGTGCTGTGGTGCGGTGCCGGCGGGGTTTATGCGAGGGACATCGACAACAACGCAGTGGGTGATTGCATGACCTCGGGAGTGTTGGGTACGAATTGTTCCCGTGTGCCTAGTGGGTGTGATAAAACTGCGCCGAAGCTGCCTTTTTGGTCAGCATTGCCCATCACTGTCTTACAGGCTGATGCTCCTGAGGGAAAAGAACTTGCATCGCAAGGGGGTAATTTAAATTCAAGTGAATCTTCGGGTACCGGCGCTCCTGAGAAAGCTTCTGAAAACCCCGATGGAATTCCGGGGACCGATGACAGCTCTAGTGGTGGCAGCTTTGGTGGTGCTGGTGGAAACGTGGCAAGGCAGGAGGCGGAGGGCACGGACAACACTCCCAGCAGCCCACCGGTCACACCAGTCACACCACAAGCGAAAGAAACAAAGGCAAAGGAAGTATTATCATCGTCATTACCACCACCAGCAGGAGGAAGTGCACCAGAACCTAACGGCACCCATAATTTACCAGGTACCAATGCAGGAAACTCAGCGTCAGAAAACGAGCCGGGGTCCAACTCACTGGAACGGCCTTCAGAGGATGGTGAGGCAGGGCAACAAGATAAGGAGGCAGACACACAGGGAACACAAGAAACGGAAGGAACACAAGGAACAGCAGCATCACCCATCTCCACAAGTGGCAGTAGTGGTGCCCAGATTGAGGCGGATGCGGATGATGACGACTCTCAACGGCCTAACCCCGAAGGACCTCAGAACGACGGAACCGAAGCTGGTGATACCCACGGTCCATCTGCAGTCAGCGATGCAGCACCACAAGCAGCAAAAGCAATCGCCGCTCAAACAAATGGTACGGTGACCCCTGGCGACAGTGACAGCAGCACCGCGGTCTCCCACACCACCTCCCCTCTCCTTCTTCTTGTTGCGTGTGCGGCTGCTGCTGCGGTGGTGGCCGCGTGAGAGTGAGTGAGAGAGAGCCATGCACCGCCCGCACACACACTTGTCCTTCACTCACTCTTTCTGTGTGTGTCCCCTTGCATGGACTCTCGCCCTCACCTCATCCCACGAAGCACACACATAATGTGCCCATTGTATATATGCATGCACACCCATGCAGGCCCGTTGGTGCTCTCTTTTGCACGACACGCACCGCTGCCGTCCTGCCTGGCTGCATGGGCGGAGCACCGTAACTGTTTTTGTTTTGTTTTTATTGCATTGAGTGGGCGACCTCTCTCTCTCTCTCTCCCTGTGTGTGTGTTTTGCTTTACGGGAGCAATGAGAGTGTGTGCGCTGGTCGTCCCACGCTTCGGCTTTTTTTTGTTTTTCATTGTTTTGTGGTTGAGAGCACCCATTCCGCGGGCTGCGTGTGTGTGTTTGTGTGTGATGATATGAGTAATTTGCGTGTGTGCTATCTGCCTCTCTCTGCCGTTGCTTTCTTCTGACTCTCTTGTGGCGCACAGCTGCTCTGCATCTATAGGCGCTGGCAAACAAATACACACACACACACCCACACACACGGCTCTGACTGTGGCGGCCCTCGCCAAAGTTGCCGTGCCGCTGATGGCGTGTGAATGCGGCCGCGAGGAGACGGCGGAGTACTGCCACAACTGCAGTCCGTGCGGCCGCCACACCGCGAGTCCTGACCGGAGCGGCAGCTTCGTGTAAGTGGCCGCCCTCTCACCGGAGGACACGTGTGCTGCGCGTGTGTCCGTGCGGCAGGGACGTCTCGCCACCAACCCGCCACTTTCCGTTGGTGCTGGTTTCATTTCGCGATAAGATAGGGACGGCGTAGCAAATTTTTTGCGCCGAGTAAAATGAAAACGATGCTTTAGCGGTCTACTGTTGTTTTGCTCCAAATGATTGCGGGGAAATAAAATTCAAGTTACATGAAAGAAGCCTAAGAGGAATTTAGGGAACTCTCTTGCAATTGTAAAGGCTTTGGCCGACAAATAAAATGATATTACTCTGCATTTTTCTTTTCTATTTTTAAACTGTTGTGCCATCACCATTTGGGAGTTGTTTCACTGTGTGAATGACTTCTGATTGTACTTTCCGGCGTCTTGGCTTTGTCTCTCTCTTCAAATAGACGACCCCTTGATTGTCATGAAAACACACGCTGACGGAAATTGACAGGCCCACGACACAGAGGGCAATGAGTCACATTTGTTGCGCATGCATCGCATAAGTAATAATGTCCACATGGAACGAGCACCGTTTCCTTGGGAGAAAGGCACACCACGCACCTCTCATGCTCATCCGTCCGTTTATCATCGTCACCATTTTCTCATCCATTGACCCAATCGCTGTTGAACTCTTGTCGCATGGCCTTTTGTGATGGTGAGCTGACGCCTTCTTCACCAAAACACAGCGGAAATGAAGCCTTCCGATGAAAACAACTGGCTCAGCTTCTTGGTGGTATCACAAAGTGAGGATGAGACCAGATGCCATGCTGCTATTTCCGGCATGTGACAACGTCCGGTGGCATCAACGTATTTGTGGTTGCTCGCTATCCTGCAGCCTCGTTCCGCACTGAGGAGAAACAGCAGCGGAGGCTCAATGGGGTACAAGTGCGTTAGCCATATCTGCAAAGGGGCAGGACGTAACGATGTGGTTGCGCCTGCTCACGGCTGTCTTGTGGCGGTGGGAGGGTTAAAGACATCTTGTCGCTGTTGCTTCTCTTTTTTTAATAATAATAATAATAATAATAATAATAATAATAATAATAGTAATAGTAAGAGACTCACTGTAGATGCAAAGTTTTTTCCTGTTGTGTCGCTCCCCACGTGATGTCACGACAGCCGAAGTAGAGAGTGCCGCACAAATTCCCGAAGTCATGAAGGATGCGGCCCAGAACTGCAGGTTCACAATTTTCGGGGGAAACAGCTTAAAGAAAAGAGGGCGAATAATATTTTCTTTCATGTTATTTTTCATTGCGTGCGTTCTTCCTTCCCCTAAAAGGGCTGAAAGGAAAGCCCATCAGGGAATTGAGAATAAGCCATGAAGTGATAAGAAGGTTGTGGGGGAATTCATCGCACCCCTCCATCCCACTTGTACCATATATATATATATATATGCATGTACATACGTGTAGAGAGAGGGAGAGGGGAGTTTTGTATTCGGATTACAAATGGGAAATGGCAAATTAAATGAAAAGGAAGGCACTGTGGCTTTCCTTCTATGGAGAAAGAGATTTCATCACCCAGAATAATCTCGTTGACCGCTGGCCGGATCCTGAAATAATCTATGGAAACCAAACAATATAGAGAAAAAGGGGGTAACGCAGAGGAAGTTAATTGCCTCAATGTTTTCTTCCGATAATATATATATATATATATTCTATTGACCGCTCGCGTGGCCTTTTGAACTCATTTAGGATATGAAATATTTATCACTTACGAAGTGGCAGACTTTGGGGTCCGCCAGCCACAACACCCCCGCCGCTGCCCTTCGCAACTTCCACCCCTTCGCCAAATCCTGAAGTGTAAAAACACACGACCGCGTAATATGCCGTCTGCGCGGTTATCTGCAGACCGTACGTAGACAAAGGATGCCTGTATTCCGCGAGAGTCCAAAAACTCATATATCCGTCGCAGCTCCCACGCTATGGCGTTTGATTTTGAGCTGCCTTTATTCGCCGCTCCTTGCAGCGAAGTGCTGTCTACCCAAACGTCCACGGTGCATGGCAAGATGGCGGAAAAGACCGACACGGCAAAGCGTGCCGCGCGTGCCTCGGCCTGCATGATAAGAAAAGGCTTCCTCTTCCATTTCCCTCCGGCAATTTTAACGTCGCCTGAGTCTGGAATAAAAACGGTTCCTCATCCATGGAGCGATGCATCCGTGATGATGGCGGCCGATGCCTTTTCCGTGGGCTTGATGATTCGCTTGCGATTATATTCTCGCTGATGTGTCGTAGTCTCTCGCCCAAACCAACCGCTGCCGGCGGAAGGTTCGCCGGGGATGTCTCCTGCACAATCCCCCGGTTAATTGCGGATAATCGTCGTCGCACTGCCTTGATAAAAAAGTAGTAGTCGCATAATTGCGTGCCCAAAATGACCGCCGCGTACAAGAAGCGGGACGCCATACCTCCATTTCCGCGATGGTTAAAGAATTGGGCGCCGACATGGCGCGTACAGACCGGACAAACTTCTCACTCAGAGATACCGTCTGGAGTATGATCAAACTGCACCCACAGAAAGGTGTAATGCGTAGCGCCCGATTCGCGTTCCTCCCTATCGTGGCGTGACAGCCGTCCGCATTACGAAGCACCTGGGCTTCCCACAATGTCGCATCGCTTTTCGACCCTGCAATGCGTATATTACCGATCCATACGTCGATACGGAGCAATGGAGGTGCGGCCCAAAGGAAGTGAACCACCGTCGTCACCCCGGCAACTGCTAATAATAATCTGGAGAGTTTCTGGGCTGGCCTTGTATCCCATCGGGAGCCGTGTCAGCTCCACCAGCGTGCCGTCCTCCACGCGGCATCAAAAGAGATGCCGAGTCTCCCGTGGTAAAGAAAAATGAAAAAAGGATGCCTTTAAACCCAGGCAGGAAGCGGCCTCAGCCATCACAGGCAGCAAATAATGGAAACTGTGCAAAAGAGGAGCATTCGCCCCTTAAGAGTCGTCTCTGTTCTTGTCGCGTGGCCACGCGATCCATCGTCGTCGTAAACCGGTGGTTTTTCCTCAACAAAAAAATACTTTTTTTTTTTTGTTTTCCACTCTTACCGGCGCGTCTGGCTATACAATGCCATCTGAGTGCCGAAGAGGTGGTCGAGCAGCGACAAAAGTTTTCTGCTGTGAAGCAACTGCCATTGAGAGAACTTTCCGAGGCGAAGGTCTTGTTCAATGCCCAGCCGTTGGCGCACAGCCAAGGTGCCTGGACTTTCTAGAAGCAGATGGTGCAAGGTTTCCTGCGGGCCAATTGGCGTGCTTGTGGAAGCTGGCTGATCCTGCGGCAGCAGAGATCGCCTCCTGGCACTGCTGTTTAGATGTCGAGTGGCGTCTGGGTTGTGTGCCCAGCGACTTCTGTGCTGCGCGGTGCTTCTACGTGTGGGGAAAACCATGTCACAGAAATCGCATTTGAGCTCGGGAAGCGGTGGAGGATGTTCCGGATGGAATGACCGACAGTGACTGACGAGATTCGAGAATCCCGTCAACATAGAATCACAGTACGGACATTTCTCCTTCCGACGGCGTGTGATGGTTCTTCCCTTACTGGAGAGACGTCTTCATCCCTTGCCAACGGGGGAACAGCGTCTGTCTCCGGTACAGTTGGATCGTTGTTAGAGCGCATATATGCAGACTGTTCTGGTGAGATGTTGCAGAAACGGCATTGGTTCGTGCAATGTCTCACAGCCCAGTATAGTCGGCCCCAGAGCTCAGATTCGCCGCACCTTGCCCTAGCGAGGCGAACCAGTTCTTGACGGTGAAGAACTTCCTGAGTGATCAGGTCCTTACCGCTAAGATGTGATGGCCTTGTGCCGCAAAGCAAGTAGCGATGAGTGTCTTGACGAATCGTACTACGCCACTTGTTGGTGAGCTGGGTAGTAAAGCATGTCAGCAGATCCGTATGCCATAAAGGTGCAATTCCATGTTCCGTGTATTGTCCAGTTTCCATAGTCTGCGTCGCATACTCATCCGCAAGCTCGTTAGCATGTACTCCACAATGTCCGTAACAAAACTGCAGGTGCACGGACCAGCCAGCACACGTCAGTGTCAAGAGACGCTGCCAGATCTGATCCTCCGTCCAGTCTGTCTGGCTGAGCGGGCCCTTGTTTAGAGCCGCTAGAAGAGACTGACTGTCTGTAACCACAAGCAGGGTTTTATGCCTGTGTTGGATACGAGGGATAATCAGCTTTTCTAGGGCTAGAAGCAGCGCACGGGATTCCGTCCTGTAGCTGCATGGGCGTGCACCGCAGTTTATACTGGCCTTTTCTATTATCTCCGATGAATTGAGGGATGAAAGCAGGATTCCAACCCCGGCTGACTTGGGAACGTCGACACCGCCATCCGTCGCGAGTATCCACGAACGATGACTGTGCAGCGCTAGAGCCTCTTCGCTAACTCGTCGCTTTTCCCGTATCAGCCTTTTTTCGTCAGTTATTGAGTGATCTATCGGAAGTTCCACGCCAATGGTGACCCGGTGTGCGGAGGCCGCGAACCAGGGAGGAATGGAGCTGCGAAAGAACCGCTCTTCGCGTGGTGAGCTCTGGGTGGTGCCGTAGTCCTTTGTGTATGCGTCTACGAAGGCATATAGCTCATCCCGAGATAACGGCGAAATGCGGAAACCTGCGCGAGGCGGTGGCTCAGGCGGAGGTCTCCGCATCCAGTCCGTCTGACATGCGCGTGTGTTCTCAAATATGGAGAGCCGCGCGCGCAGGCAAAGGACATGGAGCGGCGGCATATTAGCCTCTAGAAGTGCGGATTCCGGGTCGACAGTGCTCGGAACTCCGCTGACAATGCGTGCCAGGGTTGCGTACGTCTTCTGCATCTCATTCTTCGCTGAATCCGCCGCTACTGCCCATATGAGCTCACTGCCATAGCGTAATTTGGAGGCACCGTATCCAATGACGAACGTGCGTAGGTCATGTGGAGATGGTCCCGCCTCTTTATGCGCAATGCAGCGTAGCTGCGATATCCGCTGCGAAGTGGCAGCGCATTGCTTGGTGGCCGCCACATTTAGCGTCAGTCGTGGATCGAGATCCATGCCAAGAAGCTTCGTGGTTCGCGATGCCCCCATGGTCATGACTGGGATTTCACGTCCAGCCACTACCAGCGGCCACTTTCCTTCACGATCATAATCTGATTCCGTATGCGTGGGGAGTGTGAACCAAGCGGCTTCACACTTTGACGGGTTAATGGCCAGGCCATTTTCTTGACTCCACACATGCAGCTTTTTAAAGAACCGTGTTGGCAGTGGGAATGGCGTCTTCCCGGGACTGCCCCTTAACAATAATAGAGAGGTCGTCCGCATACATGTCTGCTGTGACACCCGCAAAGCTGTTCAGCAGATTGAGAAGTGGGTGTACGTAAAGGGAGAACAAATATGGTCCCAGTACGGACCCCTGAGGAACTCCTCGCAGCATGGGACGCCGATCACTGTTTCTGTTACCAACTCGTGTCTTCGCGTAGCGACCACATAGAAAGTTTCTAAGCCACCTTCTACAACTCACCCCCGGAATATTAGTTAGCAAGCGAATGAGGACTCGATGATCTATGGAGTCAAAAGCCTTGCTGAAATCAACCAACACCAGCAGAGTCCAATGGGGCCTTTAGTGGAGTTGATTACCAATACCGCTCTTCTTGGGAAGGTTCACTTGAAAATAATGATTTCTATTATGCTCCACTTCGTGTATCAGGTGTGCCAGCTGCATCGTCGTGGTACGCATACTACGATATGCATACTGGTGGGTGTGTGGCGTCCACACCCAAAGCAATCTCTTCAGTACCATTTTCTCAGCAACCTTACTCACAATGGAAGTAAGGCTGATGGGTCGATATGACTCAAGCAGTTCCAGCAACTTACCGGGTTTTAAGAGTGGGACGATGGTAGCGCGTCTCCACTCAGCCGGGATCGTGCCGATCGTCCAGCTGTGGTTAATGCAACGAAGAAGGAATCGATAGACACTTTGACGAAATATGTCGTAGTGCCTCACTGTAGACTTCATCCGGTCCGGGGGCCTTGCCATACGGCGTATTACGTATCGCAGCAAGCAGTTCCGTACGATTAAAAGGTGCATCAAGAGGGGAGTGAAGATGAGCAACTAAACCAGATGTGGTGGCAGCTTCGTTTTTATCCTGTGGCTCTGAACTAGATGAGAATGAAGAAACTGAAGTAGATGTAGCGGCAGACTCGTAGTTGTTCTGCTGCCCAAAAAGAGAAGAAGAAACAATGCCCAAAGATGGGTTCTGTCTTTTGATGCCTTTGGAAAACCTTACTGCCTTGTGAGAGGGGTGAAGTGGAAAAAAGATGCGATTGAGAGCATTCACTGCCCTCCTTGCTGTTTTGTAAGTGTGTTGACCATCTCCCAACAACAATGATGTAGGAGATGGAAGTGATGCCTTTTTTCGTCCGGAAATGTATTTCCATGCGAGTGGTTCGCCTGGATTTAGCTTGCTGATGCGACGTAGATACGTGTTGCGCAGGCGCTCTCGGAGTAGGAGGAGGAATTGACTTGTCCGTTGCATTTCAGCCTCACGGTCGGGCGTCGGTAACTGTAGATAGCGGGCCTTGCTGTCGGTAGCAATCCGCTCTGCCTCCATGAGAGTGTCGTCCCAAAGCCTGGGACCATCCTTGCGCATGCCGCGGGAGCAATTGCGTCGATACGAAGTTATAAGCGCTCTCGTGAAAGCTTTAATGCCGGTGGACTGCTTTTTATATTCATATGCCGGAAGTTGTGCGTCGAAGTCCTTGATGAATAAATCCCATTTACACTTCCCCCAACTGTAGAATGTCTTAGGTGCCGAAGGGGGTGCCGAAGGTATGGTATCCTTAAATGCCTGATGCAGCGTGAATGTTAGCATATAATGATCACTAAGCGGCGACACAGAAGCTGACCAATCTGACACAGTCAAATGCTTTGACCATGTCAGATCGATACAGGATCGTTCTCTTGTGCCACGAGCATACGTGATCTCACCAGGGGTGTTAACCAAGGTGAGTCCCGCATCCGTGCACAGTTCTAAAAATTCTGCGGCAACCTCGCTTGGAGAAGACTCCAAGAATGGCTCCCACTGTGGGTGATGCATGTTGAAATCCCCGCACAGCAGGAGCGGCGACGAGGCTGGAAGGCAGTTTACTAACCGCCTGAAGGATTGCGTTACTTGCGGTGGTGGTCTCATATAGGCACTCGCTACGATAAGATCACGGTTCTGGTCCAGAGCAACCTGGACCACCACCACTTCAAGGCTGGTGTCATGCTGGGGGATGGTGAGGGGTATACGCTTGGAGCGGAGAGTTTTCCGCACCAGCACCGCCACACCGCCTCCCTTGCCGATGCGCGACTGTGCATAGAGCACATAATCTCCAGTGTGCATGCTGGCGATCTGCTCCGACGACTTCCAGGTCTCCTGGATGGCTATTATGTCTGCTCCTTGCGCCATTAATGTTGCGAGTTTTGACGGCGTGAGGCAAGAAACGTTCATCTGGAGTACTGCTATGGGGCCTGGGTTCTGCTCAATGTCTCCGCTTCGCAGTAGCTTTTGTCGTTGCGCGTCACATACGGCACGCAAACAGTATGTATAGCGCTGATAAGCGCCGATGGAATTCAGCAGCGGATGGAAATACCGCTCCGCGGGCAGCCATGTACATGGCTCCATCTGGTGCCCTTCCGACCCGTTTGAGCGGCGTCTACTGCCTCTCCGCGTGCAGCGGATGGGCAGCAGGCGCTTAGCTTCCTCTCTAGCAAAGAGTACTAGACCCTGGCACCACGTTGGGGTGGCCGGCTGAGCCAGGCCCCTCCGGCCATCATTCGCCTAGTCGTGGATAATGGCGTTTCGGATCCCGACCATGTGCGAGATCGCGGGGGCCATCGCGACGTTTATCGTGGGGCGCTGGGGGGAAAAGCCGGGCGCCTGCCCTTCGCGAAGCACGACGGCCACCCGCCGCAACCGCTTTTTTCTTCTCGGGCTCGCAGCGTGTCAGCGCGTTTTTTCGCCTCGCTGCCGGCGGCTCTTCCGCTTGTCTTCGTGATGCGCGGGTCCCTTTGCCGCTTGCGGCGCTCAAAGAAGCTGCCCCGCCGCGGCCGCACGCGTTTGCGCCAGGACGGTTGCGCTTTCGGGGGCGCGACCGCTTTCCGAAGATGTTGACTGGTTTGGTGGCGGCGCTTGGCGGGCAAGGGGTCAGAAGCAACCTTCCGGGGCGGTGCCGTATTGAGCAGGGTTTCCTCTTTGTTGCGCAGCGTTTTCGCTGTTGGAATTTTTTGTTGTTTGTTCGCGGGTTTTGAGACTTTTCCGTGTCATTTTTCATTTTGAGCACTATATTCTTGTATGTTTATTATTATTATTTTGCTCTGTTATGTGAGAGTTCTCTTTGTTGTTTCGTGATTGTTTTTTTTTTTTTTTAATAAAATTGATTTTTAATTTTTTAAAAATTTTCTGCTTTTTAATAATGTCATTGTAGTTTTTTTTTGGGGATTTTTATGCGTGATTTTATTTATTTATATATTTTTTTGTAGGAGTGGTGAAGGGAAAATGATTGTATATGGAGTATCCGAATATTTTTGCGTCTGCTATTTTTTTGGCACTTTTTTCTGCGAGGATAGGAAAAAAGGAAACAGAAAGGGAAATGTTTGTTTTGGGGTATAATGGACTGTGATGCATTGATATCACTGATTGAACAATGCTATGAGAGGATGTGCCGAAAAAAAAGAGCCTTGTGTTGGAATCTTTCAGGAGCTTTGTGTAACAGTCCGGCAGAAGTGATTTGCTTGATAAAAAACTTAGGACTGAGCACAAAGTCACAAATAAAAAGGGGGCTGCGAGTTGCCACTGTTGCTCTTCTAGTTACTGGGACAATAAAGGGTTCTCACCTTGGTGATTCATCGGATATTTTGGGCTCTTTGTTAGCATGCAGGGTTTTTTTAAAACTGAGAAAATTTTCCGAAGAAGAGAGGCATCATTTTCTTCTTCAGAGAAATATATTACATGCCTTGGCGGAGATAAAGCAATGGATTAGAGGTTTTTTTAATTGCGAAAATCTCCTTCAGACGAAGATTCCTTTGGAAAAAAGGAGCATTTTGCAACTCATAGAGTTGATGTTAAAGAGAAATAGGTCATTCAGTGAAAGATGTTGTTTGGATTTGGCGCATCTTTTGGTAAAGACGGCCGTTCAACAGAAAAGACTTCTTTTTATCCCGAAGATTACACACGGTGATATGGTTTATGGTGGTCATGCTTCTTCCGAGTTTTTTGATAATATAACAGTTTTTGACCATGCGGTTTTGCTGCCGATTTCCTTGTCCCTTGAAGCACGGCTCCTATTGCTTGACGCTCATGCCCGAAAGGGAAAGTTTGTACTTTTTTCATGCTCACTTCTCATAGAGGACGGTGAATTGGAGGCATTTGTGAAATTGCTACGGTCTTTGCAAATTTGTTTTCTTGCATCACAACGGGTAATTGGATCGGGTTTAAAAAAGGTTTTATTTGAATTAGATGTAGTGCCCCTAGAGCGTCTATCATTAAATCACAGTGGTGACGTTCAATTGGTAACAGGTGCTACGCCATTTCACAGCTTGTGTGAGTTTATCTTATGGACGAAATCGGTGGAGTGTGAGACAGAAAACGTTTTTGATCATATTGGAGAAGTTAGTAGGATTGTTAATTTGAACGATGAACGCATTTGGATTTATGGAAAAGGGAATATTGCAACTGTATTTGTTCCCATCCCGAATCCCTTTGCTCTCAGCGCAATTATAAGAAGTTGTGAAGAGGCTTTTCGTATCGCCTTTATTGTTTTGCGTGGATTTTCTGCGTATCAGGATTCTTTTGGTGCATATGAAGCTTTTTTTGCAGAGTATTTACATTATCGGTATCTGATTCATCCTGAGAAAAACATATATCTTCGAGATCTTGTCCATGTTATACGGTTTACATTGCTTTCTTACGCCTCAAGTTCAGGGGTTTCACCGGACACTTTTTCACAGATGAACTGCTTTGACGTGAGTAAAAATACAACGGGAGCCTTTTTTTTTGACTTTTCTCGTTGTAAAATTGAGCTAGAGGGGAGAGACACGGGAAACCACATCAATTATGCTGCCCAATTGGAACAATGGGGGCGTGAACCACTTTGGAGGTTTGCGGAATTAATATGGACTGCAATCCATAATGCGTCATTGTTGTTTTGTGTAAAAGAATCGATCTAAAGTGTAAAGGTGCCAAATTGTTTTTCTTACACCTTTAACTTTTTTCCAGGGGAAAAGGAGAAATAATAATAATGAAAATTATAAATAAGGAAATAATTAAAAAAATCATAAAGAAGAAAATAAGAAAATTTTGTTTTGAGTGAACACGTTTTTTTTTTTTTTTTTTATCTTCTTTTTCTTTTTTTTTCTATTTGGATTTCTTATTATTATTATTATTATTATTGTATACATTAGGGATATGAGGGAGCGAGTCAAGAATGATTGGGGGGAAATGGTCCTTCCAGGCGTTTACATGCTTAGAGGCTCCACTACCTCTAGTCGAGGAAGAACATTCGACCTTGATGCAAGTAAGCTCCAGCTTGAACTGATTCTTAATGAAATAGAGGTTATGGAAAGACACGTGAAAAAATTGAAGGAGAGCAACAGCGAGATCAAAGAATATTTAAAGAATCATGGTGATTCGATAATGGAGAGCACGAATACAATTTCAACTTCTGGTGCTGTAGCTGCAGTAATTGATACAGAGGACATCAACGACGTTTTGGCGGAGGCCCTTGTAGAAAATGAGACAATTATTTCCCGTAAGGAAATGGAATTGAATGAATTGAAGCAGCTTATACAAAGCAATCGTTGTGCCTGTAGCTACCACTCAATTAAGGAGAATAATGAGGGTCATTCAGTTCCTGATGACACCAGCAGAAATAGTGTGGCAACTGAAGTGCAAGGGGTCATAGATGAAATGTCGAATACCCACTTTTCACTTTGAATTATTATCAGTATTACCTCAGTTTTTCATTCTTAATTACTATTAAGCATCATTAAAAAAATAAGTAAAATAAACAACAACAACAACAAAAAATAATAATAATAAAAATAGAAATATGAGACTAAGATGAAATAATCTTATATGCCTACTTTTATATTTTTTGTCGTTTATCATCTTATAGTAGAAAACAAAGGAAACTTTTTGTTTTAAAGGAATACCATGCCTCCCAAGAAGAAGGATGAGAAGTCACAACCGCCCCGCACGATTTTGCTGGGCCGACCTGGAAGTAACTTGAAGGTTGGGATTGTTGGGCTTCCTAATGTTGGCAAGTCCACATTTTTCAACGTTCTATCTAAAAAAGGTGTTCCCGCGGAAAATCGGCCATTTTGCACCATTGATCCCAACACCGCGGATATTAACATTCCTGACGATCGATTTGAAAAATTGGTGAAAATCAATAAACCTGCATCTATTGTACCTACACAAGTTCACATTCGGGATATTGCAGGGTTGGTGCGTGGAGCCAGCAACGGTGAAGGGCTTGGCAACGCTTTCTTATCTCACATTAATGAATGTGATGGAATTATCCACATGATTCGTGTCTTTGAGGAAGTTGAGATTACACACGTGGAAGGTGATTTGGATCCTATCCGTGACCTAGAGATTATTTTCTCAGAGTTGGTTATGAAGGACTTACAAGTGGTCAATGGGTTAATTGACAAGATAACACCCATAGTTAATCGGGGGATCGACAAAAGCAAGAAATTTGATTTAGAGGTTCTTATGAAACTGAAAGAACACCTAGAAAATGGTGAACAGATTCGGTGTTGCCAATGGAACGGTAAGGAAATTGATTTTCTCAACACACTACAGCTTTTAACAGCGAAACCAGCTATTTTTTTGGCCAACATGTCAGAAAAGGACTTTATTCGACAAAGGGGCAAATGGCTTGTTAAGCTCAAAGAGTGGATAGATCAGCACACTGGCGAACCACTTATCCCGGTTTCAGCAGAGATGGAAGCCAAATTTCTCAATATGTCTCCAGAGGAAACAGAGGAATACTGTACAGCGAATAAAACAAAGTCCCAGGTGCACAAGATTGTCACCACCGCTTATCATGCTATTAATTTGATTCACTACTTTACTGCGGGATCGGACGAGGTGAAGTGCTGGACAATTCAGCGTGGCACCAAGGCTCCTCAAGCAGCTGGTAAAATTCACAGTGACATGGAAAAGGGATTTATTTGTGCTGAAGTAATTCATTGGGAGGACTATGACAAGCTTGAAAATGAGGCTGCATGCCGTGAAGCTGGTAAACAACACCAAGAAGGACGTAATTATGAAGTTCAGGACGGTGATATTATCTTTTTCAAATTTAACGCCGCTAAAGGAGGTAAGAAGTAGTTTTATTTATCTGAATCAATAATAATAATAATAATAATAAAGTAACGGGAAGGGGGACCTCCAAAAAAAAAAAAAAAAAAAAAAAAAAAAAAAAAAAAAAAGACTACCTCATCCGACTCACTGTTGAGTGGAGTAGATGTAGAAAAGAGATTTCAAAGAAGCCCATATACTAAAAAAAAAAAAAAAAAAAAAAAGAAAATTACCGTTTTTCTCGAAGGAAAACCTTTTTTTTTTATTGAATGAGCTTCTTTGCCTACTTCAATATTCCTTTTTAATGATTTTTTTTTGGTCTCGAGGGTGGCAAAGTAAATTAGTACTAATGAAGCCTTTAGCATCATTTCGTGGGAATACCCAAACAATGTTGTACACCCCTGTTCAGGATAAGTATTCCATCTTGATGGAGGATGACAAACTTCGGGTTGGTGCTAGCAGTATGCAGGGATGGCGAAGCACCATGGAAGATGCCCACACTATTCATCTTTCTTTACCAGGGTTGCCATCTCACATGGCTTCTGAAGACGGTGCGATAGCGGCAGTATTTGATGGACACTGCGGGAGTAAAACTTCTCAAACTTCTGCTATACGTATCCTGGAATGGATTACATCCATGGAAGCATTTGGTGAGGGAAATATGGAAAAAGCTATTCATGATGGATTTATCGCTGGTGATTTGGCGATGCAGAGGAGTTCGCCAAATGAAATGAGCGGATGTACAGGTAACTGTGTGTTAATAGTTGAGAACCATCTTTACTGCGGTAATGTTGGTGATTCCCGTGCAGTTTTATGTCGAGATGGAACTGCTATTCCGCTGAGTGAAGATCATAAGCCGAATTTACCGAGAGAAAGGGAGCGCGTCTTGAGGGCAGGGGGATATATTCACAATGGTCGTGTCAATGGCGTTTTGTCCCTAAGTCGTGCCTTTGGTGACTTTGCTTTTAAAGACAGTGATTTACCTCCTGAGGCACAGGCGGTGACAGCGATTCCAGATGTGGTTCATCTGGAGCTGACCCCACAAGATGAGTTTGTCATCATTGCGTGCGATGGTGTGTGGGATATGTTGACGAATGAGAAAGCTGTTGAGATTGTTCGGAGTGAAGTGGCAGATCACAGTGACCTTTCATTAGCATGTGAGCGGCTTATGGATGCTTGTTTGTCGAAGGTATCGACAGGCGCTGGAACCGATAACATGACCGTTATCATCCTGCAGTTTAAAAGTTTTTTTTTGAAGAAGGTAGAAAGTAGGTTTGGTGCGATTTCTTGTAATACGGCAGAGTGAAGCTTGGTGTTTTTTTTTTGCATTCTCTCCTTGCTTTTTTGCAGACTCTGATGGTGCCATGGCTTTTCTTATTTGTAAGCAAAAAAAAAAAAAAAACAGAGACTATATCTGTGTGAGTTAGGGGGTTGCTATTTCGACTATCAAGAGGATCGTTTCTCGCGTTTCTGACACGGAAAAGAACAACCAAAAACAAAAACAAAACAAAAAAAGAGGAGGGGTAGAAAGTGTGAAATCTTTTCTCCAATTGCTCGAATAACAAAAGGAAGGAGTATCGGTTGCATTTTTTTGTTCTTGATATTTTATTTTATTTTATTTTATTTTTTTTTTGCACACCATTCTTGTGCCCGGAGGGAGATTAGGTAAAAAGTGGAAGGTCATAGGTTGGTGTGCTACCCGCTTCCATCGCACTAGTCACAATAATTTTCAAGTGCAGAAGTGGTAAAATGATATCTGAGAGTGACTGGCGCGTGGTAGGTACTTACCGTTGGCGGTCCTTATATCCGGGGTATACAAATTCAGAGGAACAATGTCTTTATGAAGATGCAATGCACCTAGAAAACATCTCTATTCTTCTCTACGACACCAAGCAGGAAGATGGAGTAATATTGGCCCCTCGGTACGTCGCTAGAAAGGTTTCAGCGCCACAGGCTTCATGTCAAAAAGTGAAGGTGCTTTCTGGTTGTGCTCAGCCGCGGGATAGTACACCTGCGATGCCCCTAGAATCCAGCCTCAACTGTGGAACAGCTCCTGCCGCCTCTAGCTCTCCCTCCCATTCGAAAAAGTTTTTTCTGGTGGTAGGGACAACACTTCCACAGCCCCCACATACCGTCTTTGTGTTGTTTCTTGCTCTATTATTAGCCGATATAGCGGTGACGGCCACTGGCGTGACGACCACGCCTACAAGTCCATTGATGTCTGCCGTTTGTTGCCTTGCGGCACTTGGCCCGGATGTTGTTTCTATTGGCCTAATACTGAGGCGGGAACGCAATTCCACTTTTGCGGCAATCCATGTAGTATTGTGGCCTTGCCTTATTTTTCTTTTTCTCTTTCCTTTTATTTCAATGGTATTTATAATACATTTCATATTGTCTGCAATTTTGTTGCTTTTTCTTGTGCGCTTTCGTGTGAGCTCGCACACCACATTTTTTACCTTTCAGTAAACGATACGACTGATACATGCGATGCGTGACAAATTGCCCTTGGGAACAGAGACACATGTACAAAATCAGGGACACGAACGAAATAAGAGGGTTTACTTGCAAAATGAAGGAAAATAAAAGAATGCGAAGTAAAAACAACAGCAACGACAAACGGTAGAATGTGTACATGTAAACTTGAATGAGCTATCGATGGAAGAAAAGCATGAAACAACTTAAGAGGCGGAAAATTTAAATCTGCTGTCGAAGATATTTTTTTTCTGAAATTTTGTTTCTTTTCTAACAGGCATGCACGTGCATTTTTTTTTTCCATTTATCGTTTACTTTTTTTATTGGATATGCCTCTCTTTTTAAATTTTAAATTTTTATTTTTCAACATAAAGACACAACCTTTTCTTTTGCTTTTTTTTTTTTTCTTGTGTTTCTGAATTTTAATGCAGCCATTAATCTAGACATCGGCGTAACAGTCCATTAAGAAGCGTACTTTTTTTTTGTTCGTTAGGGCGAGACTGAAAAGTATTCTTGGCCATGCAGAAAGAAAATGATAGGATGCGAAAGAAAAAAGATGAAGCTCGTGAGGAGGAGGAAATCAGCATTTTTCACTGTGATGACGGCAGTGTGTATGAAGGGAGGGTGACTCGTCGTGAGATTCCTGTTGAATTACCTCTCGGTATGCCGACACCCGCTCCTGCTTCCACTCTGCGTGGGCAGCCGCCTCCGGAGGTGATGCCCCAAATTGTTCCAATTCAACATGGGAAAGGGATTTTTAAGGACGCGGGTGGCACAATATACGACGGTAACTGGATTGAAGGCGCTATGTGCGGGGAGGGTGTCCTGCAGTTTCCTAGTGGGGCCACATACACCGGCGGTATGCGCGCCAATGAATTTTGTGGGACAGGTACTTACAATTGGCCCGATGGTTCTCGCTACGAAGGGCAGTGGGAAAATAATAGGATGCATGGATTTGGAGTTTACGTTGATGCTCAGGGGGGACGTTGGGCGGGGAAGTTTTATCGAGGATGTGGAGTTGGTTTATTGGGTGAAATTCACCTGTGAAATGTCCACTGGCTGCAGGTAAAATGCCCTTTGGGAAAGTGGATGGAGAAGACCAGAGGGCTTGCTGACTCCGGTGTTTGTCAGGGAGGAATTGCCTGGTATGTGGAGACTGGCAGCAGCAAAAGGATGTACACTAGAGACTCCTTATTATATATATATATATATATATATATATATATATTTTTTTCCTTTGTCCTGCCGTCCTTTTTGTAAAGCATATGCAAACGCTAAAGGAGGGAAAAAAAGCAGACAAAAAAAAACAAGAAAGAATACACAAGCCTGTTGGGTGTTGGATCTGAAGAAACAAGAATGACTGAAAGATGTGGGGAGAGAAAAAGAAAGGAGGAGGCAGTGGTGCTGCTGGCGGTGGTGGCGATACGTCATGACGAAAATGTGCATCTTATAGAGTTTTTTTTTTTTTTTTTTTGTCTTTTCCCAAAAAAACTTTATTCTTCAAAAAAAAAAAAAAAAAAGAAATAATAATAATAATATATATAAATATATATATATATTTGTGGAAGTTATTGTAGACATGGCGGAAGAATTAAATGTAAGTGAGCTTGCAGACCTTCTTGGGGATGATGAACTGCTTGACGTGACGTCGCCGCTCGTCGCAGCACTGCCGCGGAGTGCCACTTCTGCAGAGTTGGACGGCAAGGATGTTGGAAGCAAAAAAAAACACAAGCGGAAGGGCAAGCGGTTACGTCACGAAAAAAACCACCCTAAATCGTCTGAAATTGAAGAGAATAATGAAAGTGAAGACGATAATAATGAAACACCGAGGAAACGTTCCAAATACGTCATTGATGCAGCAGAAAGCGGTGATTCGGAATCTGAGGGTGACGACTTTATTGTGGGAAGTGACGAGGAGGATGAGGATGGCGATTACGTTGGAGGGATTCCGACATACGAGCCGCGTAAAACTCATATCTTTCGCGAGGGAGAGGAGAACATGACCAGTGAGGAGCTTGCACGCGCTATTGAAGAGCGTCACCGTGCCAGCAAGAAGGAGGGAGGAAAGACGGAAGCATTGTTATTGGCTGGTCTTGGCAAGGGGAACATGTCTTCATTACGGTACACATCTCATCTTTTGCCACAGGACACGGACCCGAGAGTGTTTGCCGTGAATTGTCGACCGCGAATGGCTCGTCTGCTTGTAGCTCGGATTGTAAATAAGTGCTACGCGTATCGGATTGGGAGGAACTACGAAAAGCGGAAGGTTGACCTGGGCATCATCTCCGTCTTTTGCCTGGATCACGTAAAGGAGTACATCTACATTGAGGCACACCGCAAAGTTTTTGTTGAGAACGCATTGAACGGTTTGGATGGGCTATTCCGCTACAAAATTACTCTTGTAAATCCATCTGAATTAATGCAGATGATGGAGCGACGGCCCTCTCCTGAGAAGTTACGTGTTGGTTCTTTTGTTCGGCTGCGACAGCGACAGTACCGCCTTGATCTGGCCCAGGTGGTTGAGGTTCACCCCATCAGTAATCAAGTGACTGTGAAAGTTGTACCGCGTGAGGATTTTGTCGGTAAACCATTTAAAAAAATTGAAATACGCCTGCCGCCAAGATTTTTTGTTCCAACTCTTGCAGCGTATGTGCAGGAGCGGGGCGATTTCTACCGCTGGGGAGATTTGACTTTTGACAAGGAGGGTTATCTTTTAAAGACTGTCTCTTCCCGCATGGTTATCAGCGGCACAAAAATGGAAAATCCAACCGTGGAGGAGATCGCCCTCTTTTTTAACAACGATCGAGAACGCGTGCGTGAGGCTGTTGCACGGTTTGCCTCGGTCGGTCATCAAGGAGCGGATTTGCGCATTGGTAATACTGTGCGGGTGGTGTCGGGACAGCTGCGAGAGACTGTGGGCACCATTGAAAACATATTTTTAGATACCAATACGGTTTCCCTCTCGTGCCCTGTCCCTGGGAGGAAGGAACCAATAAAAGTTCGTGTTGAGCTTGCGGCCTGCGTGAAACACTTTGCTTTAGGCACGCATGTTATAGTTAGCAGTGGAGAACGGGCCGGGGAAAGTGGCACGGTGGTGAAGTCATCCGGGGATGTTCTGTACATTTTTTCTGATAGGGCCACCGCTTCCCGTGAGTTGACGGTGTGTGCCAGCGACTGCCACCAGAGCAACTTGATTGGCTCCTTTGGGCACACATCTGGCTCGTGGAGGCTGTTTGATTTAGTGATGTTGGCCGACACCTCCTCAGTGGGCTGTATTGTTCGTATTAACCGTAATGATATTTGCGTCTTAACGGATCGCAGTGAGACACGTTACTTGTCTCCCATGCAAATCAAAGCTGCAGTCGCAAGTCCACGCCAAACCACGGATAGACTAAACAACATTGTCACTCGCGGAGCGGAGGTGATCATTCAAACTAGCCCCAACACGCCTTACCACTTGGTTGGGCAAACAGGGCGTGTGGAACAGCTATTCGGCTCAACACTTTTTGTTCGCGTGCGTAGTGTGAAAGAAAATGCGGGGCTGGTGGTTCTTGATGCACGTTCGGTTTTGTTAATTGGTGGACGCACTAGTACGAAACACATCCAACAGCCCAAACAACTTCCCGCGGTGCAGCTGAACCCACATAATGCCACGAAGGGTGATGTTTCTGTTCCACATCCGCGTCTTACATCTGAGGATTGGGCGACGAACTCCGAGTGGTATGAAATGGATACAAGTTGAAATGAATGGATCATTACACGGGAATTGGGTAAGAGGCCCCGTTTTCTTGCAGAAGGGGGAAATGGGAGGATACCGTGTAGGAGAGAGGAAAGAAAAGGAGACGACGACGAAGAAGTAGGCAAAAAATTTTAAAATGAAAAGTTGACCGTAATTTGCCCCATTACCTCCCTATTTTAATTAAATTGTTAGACAGCCTTCTTGAAATTGATGGGGGGTGGGGGTGGGGGGAATGCGGAGGTTATCCGTCTCGTTATACCGCAACATTTTTCCCTCGTTACCTTCTTTCACTCTTTGTTAGGCCAACGACGGAGTGCGTGTTTATTTTTTTTCTTTTCCTATTTCCCATTTATTATTGTATATATATATATGTATATATTCTAACAGAGGCTATTGGATAAAGCAGATAAATTGTGTGTCATTGGATGGCCGCTGGGATGGTTTTTCGTGGTGCTTCACGAGTCGGCACTGCTGTCTCTGCACAGCGCCCTACAAAAGCCGCAATCGTTTTTCCTTTTGCTAGTTGTGGCATGTTGGCCGGTCCAATATGCATACAGGGACGATTATTTTATCGTTCTTTCCCACTTCGACTGGAGTTCAATCCATCGAGGAATCTGTATAGCATGGAGCACGCGTTTGAGGAGCCTACATTTCGTTTTATATGTGAGGGGGAGGATATCGATTATAGAGAAGAGGTTCGGGCAGCTTTGCTTGAAGTGCTTGCCAAAAAACCGTCCAATTTTGTTGGTCGGACAGAAGAAACATGGATGCAGGAGAATTCGCCTCAACGTAGCGTGCAACTCCTCCGAGCTGTGGCCAAAAAGCAATTGCTTTCGTTTGCACAAGTGAAATCAACTCCCCGGTTGTTTTCTGCGTTCTTTGATGTGCTAGCATCATGTAGCACTTCATTGGCATTAATTGCTGCTGACCATTTCACATTTGCGGCGATGATTGCGAAGCATGGGACGAAGGAGATGCAGGAGGCAATATTAGATGATGTGGACACCTGTCGTGTCATTGGCACAATTGCCCACCGGGAACTTATAGCGGAAGGTGTCCCGTTGAATTCGGAGGCGCGGTACGACAAGGACGAGAAGTGTTTTGTGTTGAGAGGGGCGGGGAAGTTTGCCGTCGTGGGAGCAGGATGCGC